ATAAAGGAGCTTTATAATTGGAGAATAGAGGGGAAAAAAAAAAAAAAAAACAACACACCAAAAAAAGGGCAGAAAAGCTCAGAAAGTATTTATATGAAACCTGACAAAGGAACATTAGTTAACTAGCACGAAGAGATGCTAATGCTCTGCACTAGGGTTAATGAGACGGTCGGAGTTTTAGCCTGGCTGTTGCCACATGCTTCCTGTGAAGCCTGAGGTGCTCCAGGGAAGATGCTGAAGCAGGCACCAGTCATTTAAATTGCAAACATGTTTGGCTTGACTGGGGACTCTTCACCCTGCTTTGATTTACTGAATGCATTGGGATCATCGTACACAGTGCTTTTCTCCCCATTTTGCTAACCAGTGCACTGAAACCTCACAGTGAGTCATGAGAAATGAGAGATTATTTCTGACCTAATTAAGTTCAATTTTGACAGGACTCGAAATACGCAGGTGTCATGTTATTAAGTTACCTAATTGTACCTTTGAAATGGTCATATAGTAATGACTTCTCAGTAACGAGAGGAAAAGGGGGATAGGGACGTGAACTCTTTGCTCAATTATTTTCATCTTAATCTCCAGCACTAAAGCAGAGGGCATCCCCCTACTAAGTACAGATCTGAATTACTCATAATTACTGACACATCACAAAAATCAACTGTTTGATGATCTCGGGCGTGAATGAAAGACAAGCAGCTGAGCAGCTCCTCAACTATTACAACATCATTTCAGCTACAAGGCAGAAGACCAACGAAAGCACACTTGGGTGCAAGCTCTATCATTCTCTGAAAAGGGGCAGTTGACACAAATCAAACACCAAACAACTAGCCCAGCTGTTCCCCCACTCCATGTCATTTAGCAGCAGAGACCAGCAGGACATGGCATGTCCCGCTACGGCACTAACCAGGATCTACTGGGATACACAGGCTGTGCCAGGAGGGTTTTGCTCTGTTCCAGCTCAGTCAGGTACGCTGCGATGGAGAAGCAGGTTGTGTGAATGCAACAGCACGTCCCTAGGAGGACAGCAGATAATGGCCATCCACTCACTTCTACAATTGCTCAACTATTTTGAAGAAGAGAGAAACTCAAGCATCTCAAAGGCATTGATTAAAAAAAAAAAAGAAAAAACACACACAAAAAAACTAAGTATCTCAGACAACTGTAATTTAAAGAACACATCAAAGGATCTGTACAGCTCCACCAAGAGATGAACAAGTGTTCTGTGGCAGTGATGAGAGAGTGCTGCAACACTGACAAGAGACTTTAAGGAACCTACTACAGCTGAGCAAGTGATGTGATTGTGCAGAGAGATGACAGCAACACAAACATCACAACCAGTTCCTGAATTAAGAGGAGATTTCTGTGAGAAAAGATATTCTGCTATTAGCTTTCCCCATTTTGAAAGAAAGCACAGCCTCTGGTAATAGACGCACGCTGCTCAAACACTTATTTTATGCTTCAGCTTCAGAGTGTTCTCATATATTCACACCTTTTTTCCTTCAGTTTGTAAATACACAGCAGATAAGAAAATAATAAGTGGAAGTTACATTCAGTCCCTTAGACTGAAGGTGGGCTTTGGCACTGACCAGCTGGCTGTCACTCTCAGCCTTTTTGGGTCCCTCTGCCCCAGCTTCCCATTGCCAGTCTCACCACAGGGCAAGGGCTGTGCCAGTGAAGGTACCGGACAGCCACATCGTGCAGTAGATGGTGAAACAGATCTAATTAGAAAGTGTTTTCTTCAAGTTGCATTAATTTCATGACGTGATTCCCCCACATCATACAAATGTGCAGTGCAGGGAGTGGTATGTGGGTAAGAACAAGAGGTCTTGGCTGCAAAACCCTACTTAATGATGCTGCCTCTGAATATAACAGCAGCCTTAAAGCCTGCCACCCACAGTCCTCCTCAAACCACCTGCACAACTCAGCTCGCTGGCCGGTCTGGCTTCCTCTCTCTTCCACAAAACAAGTTTTTATCTCTACATCACCCATGTGGAACTGATAGGAAAAACAAAACAAGAAGCCCACAACAACTCCACTGCAGCACCTCACAGACAAGCAATACACTAATGCCATCTATTGTAGTGAACGGTAAGCTATTTCCTACAAGGAAACATGCAGTTAAAAATTAAAATTTATATAACTCTAGCTAACTTTTCCAGTATGTGAAGCCCTAAAAACATTTTCTTGAGGCTGCAGACCCCTGCACAGGGATTTCAAATTAACCGATAACTTCATTCTTCAGTTATCTTTTTATGACCCCCCTACAAAACCACCCACGGACTCAGCCTGCGTGCTCTGGAAGTGGCAATTGCGGTCCTTTAGCGCTGCAGTTACCAGGTATTCCTGCATCAGCAGCACAGCACATCATGGTGGCACTGAAACGCCCACCAACAAAGCAGATTTTGTGACAGGAGCTCTTGCTGTAGAGCTGTGGTTCAACTGCTTTTCATAAAAGTTCCCACAGAATATGAACGGGTCATCATTCTGTGGATAGTGCCAAATGCTCTGATGTTTTCATAAAGTTTATATCTGGCAGAGATAGATTTATTTTTTTTTTAAACTTATGAATTTTCCTAAAAATTCCCCCAGTTACAGGTTAGACAGCCCCCCAGAACTTGCTTCTATTAAGTTTTACAGGTTTTTATTCTTACTGCTCATACCCAGTAATGCTCCCACTGCCCTGTCAGGCAGGCACCAGTCGCAGCAGCTTTGCAGCATTCTGAGCTTCGTAATTTTGGGCTGATGAGCACTCAGATTCATCCTGTTTACTCTCCCACAGACAAAACCGTTCCAAGGTAGTAATAAACAAAGCAGGTGAAGAAAAACACATGGTTAATATTATCATGTGATGGGATGACTGCCTCTGTCTCCAAGAAATAATTGTTGATGGCATTTAGCCCCCTTAAGCTGGGCATAAACATCTTTTTCTCCCCACCCTGCAACATACTCAGCATACCATTTGTTGAGAAATCTCTCCGAAATTAAGCTAACATACTCAAGCAGTTTACCAAAAAAATAAAAGCTCTGTGTATGTACAGGAAAAAAAAAAGAAAGCGACATCAATTGGTTTAATGGGCTGTGGTGATAGCGCTCACATTTCCAACTTAACCCAATATTCCTTGCCTCTTGTGTACCATGCTATCAATACCGTTAAGAGTAACTGCACTCTGATGCTAAAGCTAGCAAACCTGCCACATGACTTCAGTCTAATTTGTCTTGGGTTCACTTTACTAGATTTGGGCAATTTAGCTAAAGTGCTAAAGTGAAGATGAATCCCACTGTACATCCCCTATCAGCCAGCAGTGCTTAGAGGCTGCTTACTGGGGCGAACTCTTTCTTCCTATTGTTTTCCGCAGGCATGGACAAGTGGAAAACACTGATCTACCCTAGCATTTGATAATAAGCAGCACATGTTTAGCATACATTTTGCAGCATCAGAGAAACAGCCTGTAGACAGGAATGGAGAAAAGAGCCTCTGCTCAGCATTTCAATAATCCCTTTGCCATCTAGAAAAACATTGCTTCTTTTTCAGATAAATTAACCTATTCCACCTGTCAAGAACAAGCCCCACAAATGCTTTCCTAAGGTTTGACGTACACATTACAGTGAAAATTGATAAAAGGAGTTGGCCACACAGAATTAAGTAACCTGTCCTGAAAATGGTACCAAGCTCCAGGTGTTTTTTCCACCACCTCCAAGCAGTTCTAGTTACAAGCAGTAGAGGGAAGCAGCAAGCACTGTAACATTGTCTAGCCACTCGACTGTCATGTACTAAAGACTTAATTATGTTCTCAAACAAAATACAATGAACTCTGTCATAAGCAATCACACGAGAGACCATGAAGTCAGTAGCTTAGTGGAAGTGGCCTTCTATGAAAGATGAAGTAGAATTTTCTCTGCCTATAGGGAAAACTTACTGAGCTCTGAAAATAAAAACGTGAAGTGGAATGCAGGGGTTTCACTTTCTGTTTGTTTGCTCCCTCCCCCCTCAACTTTACTTACCCAGGCCTCAGTTCACACATTAATTTTTCCTGATAAAACATTATTCAGAATAGTTTTGTCTGATCATCAAGGTATCTTAAGAATTTAATTACATCTGCTTTAGTAAATGAAAATACATCCACGTAAGTCAACTGTTGGCAGATATGCATAGAAGGAAATATTTTGCTTAGAGTATGTTTAAAGTATTTCATACACATTTGTATGCAACTTATCTCTGCTCAGGAACTAGGCATTGCATAAAGCACACCTTCAGTATTACTTGGACACCTTTCTATCATAGTTCAGGTATTTGCCATTGCAAAATAAAATAATCCAACAAAAGCCAAACAAACAAACCTGAACTGAATATATTTACTGACACACAATTCCTCTCTCATTTGTATTGCAGGCAGCAGAGCCTCCAGAAGTGTTTCTCACAGGTGGATTACAACTCCCAAACAGGTAAAAGAAAAGACAATTATGACACTAAAAATTTTATTTCAACCTAGACAAAAAGAAAAAAAAACAACAACAACTTACCTCTCCTTGCTCCCGTATCACTACTGGAAGAATTTTTTGAGGTCAAGCATTCCTCAAAATTCACAGATAAATTATCCAAGGTCACCACTTGTACATTATTTTTTAAATTCTGTTATAATGAATTGAAGGAAGAAAAACACGAGGACACTAGCTTGGGCTGCAGGAAGCCACTAACATGAAGACCTTAGGACTGGTCAATTCACTCAGAGGAGTTTTATCTCCCCTATCACTTTTGATGCCATGTTATATAGCTAAAGCACAGTGCACCTGGATCAGGCACCATCTATCACTGCACAATTCCTACAAAGCAAGGCTCCAACTTTTGCTTGTAGAAACTAGGTGAGACTGTAATGCAAGTCCATAGGATGGTATAATTGGATACCACTTTGCATATGATTTCTCATTTAAAAAACAAAACAAAAAACATAACAAACAGAGCATACTCAGAAGTACGTAACTTTGAAGAACACAGAACTTACCAGGGAGTTTTTCCTTCAGTCTCCAGCCTTCATGCTTCGAGTTTTCATTGCGCTGCCACACTCAAACAGCTGAAGTAGACAATTCCTTGATCACGCTATAAAGAAAATTTGTGAGGAAGTGAGGAATATGACAGAGCAGGAAACAATAATTATGATGTTATTAGAAGAATGCATCACATGACAAAAACTTAAACTGCTTTGAAATAATGATTTTGTCTTCTCTTAATACTTAAAATAAAATAACATTAAGTTACTGCTGTTTTAAGATAGAACTAAAGGTTAAAGGATAGTAATTACTGATTATTTAAAGGGTACTTATAATGAACTCCAATAAAAAGGTGTCACATTTTTAAGCCAGATACTATATTTTTAACTGGGAGTGCGACACTGGACTAACATTACCAGGAGACTGCACTTCAATTAGAAGCAAAGCTGTGACTTGCTATAAAGTTCCTACAGTACAGGAAGTCTCCAGTGCTTCAGCTCACAGCACTATTTGTGCTCTCTGCACCAGAACACAGATCTATTATTTTTTTTAAATAAGAAGTTTGTATTTTATATGCAGTTAGATACACATGAACATTTTAGTAAGTCCAGGAATTTTGCAGAATCAGATAAAACCATTTCTTCCAGTGTTGTGAAAATGAAAAGTGTACTGCAAGTGACCGTGACCTTGATATGAAAAAAAAATAATTGTTTTACGTTATATCCCCAAAGCCAAACATATCAGGCATTTAGAACATGACACTCAGCAAGGGAATAAAAACTATAAGTACAGGAAAGGAATTACATTGAATGATTTTCTTTTCCTCTGGTTTCAAAGCCAACGACAGGGTATAAAACACTTCTATTCAGCTTTTCAAAGGTACAAAATACATATGAAGGAATAAAACAAAGCAAGAAAAGCACCAAGATTAATAATAATAAAAAAAAAAACTCCTAAGAGAGAGAATTTATCAGGGAATTCAACAATTCAAAGATATTAACTTCAGCCTTGCTGAATAAGAGTAATTATTTTTCCTTAAGTCAGCTGATTTATTTTTCCTTTTCATCCATTGTCATCTCTTGTTATTTAGGACATCATATAACTAGCCTTGATTGCGTTACAGCATTAAGAGAATGAAAGTCCAATTTAGAAGGTGCTTAGTACTTGAAAACTTCCAGTATGTTCACTCGCTTAAAGGTAGGTGCCTGCTTTGATGTGCTGCTGTGTCACAGATGCACCTTCAAAGGGAGAAAACTTCCAGAAGGCAGAGGTAGCAACAGCAGCAGCTTGCTGCAACTTGGAAAACGAGGCGTAACTTCAAGTCCCACATAAGCACGCTGTCTCCTCGAGCTTCTGCTGCCCCTTGCTCATTAGAAAGCTGAGGTCACGAGGAATCAACCCACTCTTGGAGGAGAATCGTTACTGAGAAGTCTCCTCTCCTCTCCCCAGCTATTGACACCATCACTACCTCCGTGGGTCTGTAACCACGGCACAACCTGGGCTCCCGCTGATCTTTGATGGAGAGGGTGAGGGAGAACAGGCTGTTGTCAATGCAAAGCTGAGCTGGTGAGCAGGACCAGGGATTGCAGAGAGTTCTTGAGATGGCAGATGGGAAGAGAAGGAAAGGCTCTGCATAATGCAGGGCTGGGGGGTTGATAGCCAGCCTTTGCTAGAGATAAGGCAGGACTCACTGTTCCTTCCCTGATTTCTCTATCAGGGAGCATTAAACAGCACAAAGATAAGGAACCTTTGCCTGGCTGGGGGCTACTATTGATTCCTGAGTTGTGATATGTGAACTTTAAGGTTGGAGTTCTGTCTCTGCGTGGGGCACAAAAGAGCGTGTTCAGAGAGCTGCCAAAAGTTTCTTATCTACACAACGTGCTCAGTGCCAGTGCTGGTGGAAGGCACTGAACAGCTTCAAGTTCTGCATTCCTTGGGTAGCACGCACTGCATAGCGGATAGGGAACTCCAATAATCTTGTGTTTCGTGCCACAAGCCATGAGGTTCCCATCCAGGGATTCCCAAGACTGAAAAGCAAGGTATAACTGCTACCACTTCATTTTTAGTCCTTTTGGGAAACTACCAGCAGTCTATAGGCACTGTACTTCTTTACAGACAGCTTACCCTACAACTTCCAAATGCAGTCACTCCAGCCAACAGATGATTAATGCCAGCAAAATAGTTCTCTACCTTCTCTCTCATACCAGATGAAAGACATTTATTACCTTGTCCCTTTCCAGTTTGATGTTACAGAGATGCCAGACTAAGGAACCTGACCTCTGCTCTTCCATATTGTCATTTTAATTAAAGCCATATCCTGTAAAATGGTATATGCTGCTGAAACCCTGATAAGATCCTATTATCGGAAAGGAGCAAATTTGTGATGCTATCTGGGCCAGCCCATGATTATCTGCCAGAACAAAAGGAACGTTATTAAACAAACTCTGTTAGATCACTGTGGGAGGATAGAATGAAAATCATGCTCCAGAGAAATCCCTTATCTCTCTGGGGTCAAACCTGCAGCATGCAGTTGCTGCTCTGTGCTGAAAGCTAGAGCAGAAAAAAGAGGAGCTGCTGATTCCTGTTGTACCGTGGAAAGTTTTGTTCCTTTCCTGCAATTTATTACCAGGAGAGATACCAACGTTAATATCAATTAACTCCTGGGAGATGATAGTTTCTTAAATACATTTTCAAAAATCTCATTACAAAGCAAAGTGCCTGTATTTGCTTTTCTAAACACAGCCATTATTTTTAGGACACAAGGAAGAAAGGGTTACAATGTCTCTCTTACCTTTAAGGTTTAATGATCTTCTGTGAAACAAAAGCAGCAGGAGGGAATTGCCACACAGCAGTTTCTTTACCTTGACTTCATTCTTTCACTTCTCTGAGTCAGCCAAATAACATGTCAGCCCCCTTGAGGTGGATCCTGGTCTTTGTGCAGCCAGAACAAACACTCAGCAATTCTAGACCAGGCAGAGAGCTGTGTCACATCCCTGGACTCTCTCAGGTTTCTTGGTGCTAAAGGCACCAGATGCAACCTTTTATTTTTCAGATAATCAATTCCACTGCATGCACGTGCCATATTTTTCTGCTTTTCCAAGCAAGCACTGAGCTAATGTAAGAAAACCAGCTAGAACACCTGTCCCATCCCCCAAAGCCCCACTTAGCTTCTCTGACTTCCCCATTACTGACAGACAAGCTCTGAATCAGAGAAAACAAAGAGCAGCCTACCTCTTGTCCTGATTTTTAATTACTATCTGTTAATGCTTGAGTAGCTAGAACGGCTCTACCACGCTTCCAGTTACTTAACTTTCTCCTCTACCGGGACACACAAAGAGCTTGCTCTGTGTTGGGAGTGGTGCTATCCAGGGGGTCTGTGCAGATGATCACAATCAGCTGAAGTGCTCTGGCTTCATTAATTACTATGCATCAGATGAGCTGCATTAAGTCCCATGTCCACACTCTCGCCTGCTATGAGAACGCACTGCTTTAACACCACCAGGTGGCTTAGTGCAGACAGCTGGCTCTGCTTAACTGTGGCAATGGGTGGGAAGCACCTGTGGGCCCTGAACACAGCTCAGCTGGAAAAGAAACAGATCCCTGTGCTTGTGGAGTTACTGCATGGCCTATCTCCCTCTAGCCTAAGAAAAAGGAATAACCCCCACTTTGCTGGGAATGCAGCCCTTCTTACTAAAGTCATGGGAACTACAAGCACTGGTATTAGTGGTTCAACTGGTAGCAAAGGGTTTGTAAGGTGACTTCAGGCACCAAATAAAGTTTAAACAGAAGTTGCAAGAGGGAACACAATTTTCTGGTCCGATGCTAGATTGAAGGCATCAGTAGCATCTCTAAAATGCATTGTTTTATCTCAAAAAAAGATCATGAAAGAGAAATCACTAAAGGGACTTGGCAGCTGATAAAAAGGATATTCACAATGAACTAAAGAACAGCAGCAGGTATATCGCATACATTCCTCAGAATTTAATGAACTGGTCTTCAAAAAAATAATTTTATCTTCCTCATCCATATGTATTTTGATAGGACAACAAACACGGATCCAATTTAAAAGGGCTCGGCGTGGTTCTGTTTGATGTGTCCGCAGACTTTGTTCGGGCTGCAGCATGAGGCCGCTGCCCGGTGAGGCCTGGCCTCCGTGTGCCCATGGAGGGGAGGGAGCTGGGCAAAGCACAACTGCAGTGACCGGACCAGGACTTCCTTGCACCCAAAAGCAAGGTCTTGAGAGACTCTGAGAAAGGAGGTCCTGGGGTTTTCTTCAGGCGACCTCGTATTCCAGCACCGGGGCCTGGCTTTGATGCTACCTGTGTCTTGAAGTATGTGTACTTGCAGGATCAGGCAGCTGAATTCACAGACCACAAGAAATTCAGTAAGTGCCTGGGCAGAAATCTCCTTGGCAGCACGCTGCTTGACTCTGGCCAGTATCAGCCGCATCAGAGAAAGGCTCCAGATTCTGTCTCAACGTTACACATTAATTCTTGCCACCAGTGCTTTCTGACAGTAATACTGTTTCTTTTGCCCTCACTCTTAAATGTATATTTTATGGAAAATATAAACAATCTAAAGTATATTTTCTAATTTTCTTTTAGGCTTAATTTTACTTAATACAAATATTGAATTTCCAATTCAGAAATACTTCTTCATTTCAACCAGCTTTTCTCACATACTTTTTTTCAAAAATCTTCACGAAACTCTTAATAGCTAGCCAAGCATCACGCGTTTCTGAGTCTTACCCTTCAACTGCTATGGAAAAGCAGGAATTCTGCTTGTGCTCTACTCTAAACAACAAATCACCTTCAATTTAGAATGAAAAAAAAAAATCCTAGCTTGCTCAAACAAAAGAAGAGAAAAACACAGATAAAATGTGACTGCATACAGTATAATTAGCCAGGATATTCAGAACAATATCCCTTCTTTCAAAAAATACCAGGGGACCTCAGCAACTTCGACCATCTGTTTTTGCTGTTACAGTTGGCATGTGTGCACCTGGCTTAGAAAGCTAAATAAGATACGCATTAACATGTATATCAGTAATAACATCTATGGAGAGTTATGGTTTTGAAAGATGGAAACAAAGAGTTAACAGAGAAGAAAAGGCAGGATGATTTTTCTTCCCTCTAACTCTTTAACTGACTCCAGGAGAGAGATTTGCATGCAGGCAGTTTACTCCTCCCAGCCAACATCTCATCCTGGGGAGAGGGCTGATATTCTCATTGGATGGCTCATCCATGAAGCTGACATTTCCTAACCGTGGAACATTGTGTCACTAGCACAAGACGGCAGTAAAACAAGAAGCTCAGAAACAATGACAATCTGCCAGCTCTACTCTGAAAATAACAAGACTTTCTCTCTTCCCCCCGCCAAAGCCAGCAAAGCTGTTCTCAGCTCGTACCACGGATTTCCCCAGGTGAAATGCAGATGGACAGAGTACTGTGCAAATCATCGCAAGCCTAACAGATAATTACCTACTGCAAGGACTAGAAGCAGCCCAGATAATTCAAAACTACTTACCAATTCCACTACCAAAAATAAATAAATAAAGCATAAGCTGCTCCAATTCATTACTGTTTATTCATCCTTTGAGTGCACTACACACAGCTGTTAAATGGCCAATAAATTCTTCCCACTGCAGTGAGCACTCCTCAAATTTAGAAGGACTGCCTTGGCATCGTGTTTGGCAACACCTCATGTCAAGCCGTTTATGCACAGAGGAACAGGGGAACCACTGCTTTGGACTGAGCTCATGACACAACGCATCCTAGTTCCTTTGTCCAGGAAAGGTGCATACCAGACATTTCGAAGTGCATTGGGGAGCTACTCTGGAATAACTAAACAACCAGGAAAACCTGCTATTGCCTTGAGAGTTGTTTGCAGCAAGGAATGTGAAGGCCCATAGGCTTTTTACCATGGTTTTGTGTGACTGTAGGTGCTCTTATTTAAATATAATGACTTTAATACCACCTATAATGATCATTTTAATAATCATCTCCAGCACGTCTTTGGGAGCCTGGTTATTGACATTTAAATGCAGTTTTAAGGATATAATTGGTTCTTCTCATGACAACATTTCAGAACGATCAGCGGTTCACTCAGGCATACACAAAGCAACAATAGGAACCTCTACAGAATTTGTCTGAAGGATAAGAAAAGCAATTAGTCACCCCCATTGCATCATCAGCTGAGGTAATGCGGTTACTAAAAACAGGAGTGCTGTTAAACTTAGTAAGAAGTCCCTTTGATTTCACATTTCTTCCTTTCTTAAATCAGAAATGGAGATCCTCATCCAACGCAGCTTAAGGAAAGAAAACTCCTTGGGCATCCCGCAGCACTGCCCTAGCTCAGGGAGACTGTCCCTTCAACGAAACTTAGCCTTGCACTCTGCTGAATGCTCTAGATCAGAGTCTGGATTTAGAAACAACACTTAAACACTGCTTCTTGGTATGACCAAGTCGCTGCCTTTAAAGCACGACTAAAATTAATGCTGAACTCTGCAAGTGAATAGTCCAGTGTGCTGAGAATCAACCTCCAGATCAGCAGCTGGAAGAAACATGAAGTTGTATCAGTGCTACTTCTTTGAAGTAGTGTCTGGACATCCACAATCACAGTTGGGGGGTGTGATTTTTTGTGTGTCAGAGGTCTGATTTAACCATTTTTACTCTTTACTTCTTCACACAAAAAAATACTTCTGGGAGATCACTTTGTAGGCAGTGTAATTCTGAAAATACTACTGGGGGAACATGTAGGTAAAATTATTTTAAATATAAACATCGTAGGACCATAAAAACCATACACTACAAAGAATATGACAGATTCATTGGCAGAGAGAAGGATTCTTCCTAAGCAAGAAAACCATTCCTACAGAATGCATTACTTCAAGCAATTGTCAACAGACAAACTACCCAGTTAACAAATGGGAGAGTGAAAAAAGTAGATAGAGAAGGCTTTTTGCATCTACAGGATTAAGGACATACCAGAGTGCCAAGACCCAAGCCAAAAGAAGGTTGCCAAATCAAGCATACAAATCGATCTCAAGTGCTACAGATCGGTACAGGCAGAAAGGCCACGGGACAAGCTGCTTTGGGAGCAGCATGCATAGGGAGGAAGGAGCAAAGGAGCAGTCCTGGTCCTGCCTCCCGCACACTCCTGTGACCCCAGGAGAGCCCCCGACCTCTGTCACTACGCCCGTACTGCTGGCATGACTTTAATACAAAGAACTGATTAGTGTCAAAGCTGGAATACAGAAAAACATTAAAAAAGAAAGACAGATCCACAAATACAGTTCTATTGTACACACCGTGAAAAGAAATCCCTCTGATAAACAAACACCTTTGAAGAAAGAAAAGAGGTTGTGAGGAAGCAAAGAATTGAGCATTTTGTTCAGAATTTTTTAGAAGAATCTCTACTGAGTTAAAGCATAATAAATTCCCCACAAACCAAGAGCTCTGGAACAGGCAACGCTCTTTTAGAAAAGGCTTTATATTCTTTTGATACCAGCTTTTAAGAACAGTAATAAATAAGTGAAGGGGAGAAAAGTGTTCAAAACAACTCACAAAACAAATCAAATCAAAAAAGACTCCAAAAACAAATTTACAAGTCATAACATTTCAAAAAGTTAATGAATAAAATCCCTGTAATTTCTGAGGGGAACGCATGGCCACAATTACCGCATCAAAGGATGTTTATTTTCTACCTGATTGCAGCAAGTGTTGTTCTTGAAAAGGAAAAAATACAGAATGCCCTTTGCTGCTGATTTCCAAACACTTTCTGTGAGTTCAAGGGACTGAACGTGCTTGCAGCAGCGTGGATCCGCTGCGTTTATGCGCCACAATCACTGCAGCAGACTTGTTTACAAACACTCTGATTTTTCTACTGACAACACAAGCTCAGACCCCAGCTGCTCCAGCACTGGAAACCCCAACCCAGATAACCTGCTAGCTCCTTTCTGTCTGTCTCTGTCACTCCATCAGTTTTGCTTGGTGACGAATCAACGGCCTGAGAAGTGCTGGAGGCCTCCTTCAGCAGGGCTGTCAGTGTTGCTAGCGCTGATGTTGGTGAACTCGTGGATATGGCAGCAGGGCATTTTTAGAACACTCGCATGTCTTGTCTGGCTGAAAAGCCAGCTCTGAAAAACCCAAGGAAACGTTTGTTTTTTTTTCCAAAATACAAAGTGATTTTAGAAATGCAAATATATTACAGTTTTGCCTGCACACAGACACACAAATTTTCGTAGCAATATTTTTAAAGAGTGGCGTTAATACATCAATATTGTAACTCTTTGGACCCTGCTTGGCTGACGAAGCAATGTTCATAGGGAAGGGAATTCAGCTGACACCCATTTAGGATGCAGCAAGATGGATAGCACTGTCAAATTTCATTATTACCTGTCCTCTATTTATCCAGTAGTAGACATCATTAGGTGTCAACTTAAAAACTGCAGACTGAGACGGAA